TTTGAAATCCTTAAAGGGCAAACACAGCGTTGAGGAAACAAACAGAGATGTCATGTAGGCTGAAAAAGTGACACTTGAGGTTAAGGAGCAAGTAGCCAGTTTCAAACCAGTCGTAGCCGTGGCGATAGGGCTCCGTGAAAGTCCAGAAAACGCTTTGAAACAAACTTGGAATGATGATAAACTTTTTGGACATTTGGATGCGACAACAGGGGCGTGTACACTAACAAAAAGGTATTCTCAAAAGGTGGCAGATATCTTATTTTGCTGGTGCCGATTTCGTCTCGTAATATTCAATAGTGAGACATTCAAATAGTTCATGTGTTTTTTTTTTTTTTTCAAATTTGGAGAGTCTCAGTAAAGAATAGTGGGATGCGTAAGGACATTAAGATCTCCCTCATTGACTGAACACAAAGGGAATGTACTGGAGAAGCGTTGAAGTGAGGGGACAGGTGCTACTCTTGCAGTGGACATCTAGACTCCAGCCCTTTCCGTCATTCATGAGACCGTCACAATAAGGGAAAAGTTAGAACAGAAATCAGAGCAAACAAAAGCAAAAAACATTACAAAAAACATTGTTAAAAGCCAACACATTTCGCTTCAGTTCACACCCAACGTGACCCACTGATCAGTAAAGTGCATTTATGCAACACCAAACAAACAAGATAATGTTGACAGCGTATCGGAAGTAGTGTTGATAAAACATCTGGATGATGACTGTGGCCGAGAGAGGCCTTTACCTGACTATAGCTGAAAATCTGTTATTGACATAGTTATTAACTCTACATGTAGTTTGACATTCTGCCCTGAATTTACATTAAATACCAACATTCGACAGAAATCAAAAAGAGAAGATGGTTACATTCATATAAGAGTTAGATCTGGGCTTTTTGAGCTGTGTGACAAAACTAAAAGATGACAGGTTATGTGAGGTTCAACCTGTTAAAAAAAAAGCATGTCTGATAATATCTGCTAAGAGCCAATGCACTGAGTAACATTTTCACGTTTGCTTGTTTCACATTTGTAACACTCCTCACTGCACCTAGAAATCTACATATTTCTCTGATGACATGTCAGTTATGAAGAGATGATGACAATTGATTTGATATATATTTTTATAGTATATACTTTATAAATGTGTGTCTTTTTTCGGGCCAACATGACAATAAATGAGCTCCCTCCCATCTCACGACGTCAACAAAACTTTTTTAAAAACATGAGGCGAGTAAACTTAAGTGCTTTATATCTGACTGCATGCAGCGTTATGTCTTTGAATGTTTTTTTTTTATCACGAGACAACTGCTCGTAAAAATATTTGTAACATTTTTTTCTTTTTTTCCTCCATAATTCACTTGTTGATACCATGCAATAGAAGACGTGCAAAAAGATAACACCTAACTCCACAAACACATTTTGATTGTTAATGGCTATGTTATGAATGCTTATAACATGTTATGCTTAGTCCATGCTGGCCTATAGAGACATTTGTGAGAAAACAGCAGTACTTAAGCCACAGGTCAAACAAACACACAAGGGATGCATGGAGTGTAAAACAACATGGAACCATAAAAATCACATCATTAACTCTTACTCTATGTAGCTATGAGAGAAACGATGCACAAGAAGGTCTGTGTCCTTAGTTTTTTCGATGATTATCTTTTCTTAACTTAAAAGACAGTGTTTGATTGGCACTTGATCAGCACTTCTAAACAGATTATTGATATCTAACATTTGATCGCACAACTACAATTTCAGAAGCTGCAGAGGTCTAGTTTGGCACAGGTTGTACTATGGAGTCTATTATTACTTTTCTATCTTACCAATACTGTATAGTATTCTATACACCTCGTTGTATGCTCCGGCCTCCAGAGCATGTTTCTAATCAACAGACCAGACATCTTTTCAACTAAAATATTTTGTATAGTTTACTTATCAAATAGCAGCATTTTCATAACTTACAAAAAGTACATGTAAACCTATTCATTCAAAATCTTAGTAATTTCAAAGGTTTCATACAACAGACATAAAACACAAAACAGGACGACATGCTACTATATTGCTTCCAATATTCTTTACATTTTCTTACTGTCAAACTAAATCATCAATGACAGAAATATGGACACCACTGGCTGATGAGTCATCATAATGCACAAACAAATGTAGCAAAGCTAATCTTAATCAGGCTTTAGTTGGCACTCTCATCATCCACACAAGATAACATAGTTCACATTGTATTGACAACGCTGGACTGCATTTGGACTACAAACTAGAATAGCTACGATAAAGTACATATAGATCATATGACGTGACATACTGTATTCCACAGAAATGAAGTCTAGTCATTTTCAGATAAGAGGATATGCATAAAAGGATGTCATTGTTTCGGCTTGAGGTCACAAACAAGTTCCACTTTTCTCTCTGAACGCATCCTGTCTGTACTATGCTTTGTTTAGGTTTTGATTCAGTCTTTAGGAAAATTTTTTACACTTCCCTAAAATGCCATAATGACGTCTTTCTAAATCCTTTTTTCTGGAGGAATTTGATACTAACAAACATTGCTGGTAGGTCATGTGTGCGTCACAGTATCGGAGGCAGGTGTTTTATTCTGAAAAAATCCTTCTGTGCATTTTAGCCTGGTGAACTCTACGGCCAAACATTATGGTAACCTTTGACCTATAGTGCATAAGTCCTGCTCCCGTTGCACACCGCTGACACACCGGCCATGAGAAGACGAGACAGGAGGAAGGAGAAAGAGGGGGAGAGCACAGCGGAGGGGGGCCAGACAGACACATGCAGGGCTATACCATGTCGAGAGAAAGAGGAACAGGGATGGGGGGGCGAGGAGAGCAGATTTGGCACAATGTATTGATCAGAGAGCGTAGCGAAGGAGAGCTCCCTGCAGTCAAGCAGTCCAGTTGCATTGTTAAACATCCCTTTGTTTTGTGCTTGTATCTTATTATTATTATTATTATTATTATTATTATTAACATTATTATTATTCGAAGTTAACATCCTGGGCAGTAAAAGGTTGGATGATTTTACAAGTGGCCAGATTATGAATGAATTGTGAAGCCTACTGCACGTGGAGTGAAAGGAGAGATTTCAGTTTGGCTCGCAGCTGCATTTGCCATAGGTAATGCTCACATACAAAGTTATCCAATAAACATGAGTTATGACAATGACAGATTTCCAAAACTCAGGAGCAGTTTTGGGACATTTTCTTGGACACTATTCAGCACCAACCCTCACAGCTGTGCACCAAGGACGCTGATCATAGAGCCTGGGTTGATGACGGACAATTGAAAAATGCCTTGTTTAGAAAAATCTGGACAGTGTAGTAAATAAATGAGTGGGAGTAAATTTGAAAAATGCTCGCTAATTGAAGTGCAGTGCATTGGTAAACAGAAACAATCACAAGACGTCATCAGAAGAACGGATTCTTCCATGTACTTGATAGGTCTTGTGTAATATGTGACATAGATGTGCACATTAAAATATACTCACAGACACTTTACATTTTGTGTCCTATAATGTCTCACAGTGCAGTCTTTAGAGACCCAGTGTACGCCAAGGATAGCAGCACAAAAGGAAGCCAAGGTAATTTTCGAGTGCTTGGAAATTAGCCTCCCTGCATTGAACAAACAATTGCCCATAAAAAGACAACATTTTAGCGATGTGTTTATTCTTACCACCTGAAGTTAGTGAGCGCTGACGTGTTTTCGGGACTGCCTGAATAAACTGCAGAGTGTAGTTGCTATTTTAGATGCAGGTAGAGCTCGGGACAGAACGTCACATAACGGCCGTTACCATGGAAATCCGCCATGTTGGATGCAAGTGTGCGAAACGTCCATAGACTTATATATTAGCCGAAACAATGCAAGAAGTAAACAAAAGTGAAACAACCCCATACGCTGCTGGGTCGCTACTGATAATGTTAGAATACTTTTGAATGAATGCTAAGTTTAGTATTCAGCACGATTGAATCTCCATTGGTTTAACATATGGCTAACTAAAAATTCAACATATGACGACACAATCCCGAGCTCTAAGTGGAAGGATGGCTCTCAGTCCAAGCCTTCTATTCAAGTTATCGCTCAATAGTTTACGTCTCCTGACTATTTGGTACCTTTAATGTAAAGGCAAGAGTTTCTTTGTTCACAGATATTGGTTCCAACAGCTTTACTTTATCAAAATAGGTTTGTAATGCATTGTTCTCTTTGCAATCTGAACTGGTTTAGACACTGCTTCAGGAGAAAGGTAGTTTAACTTGGGAGATTTTAAGGCAAAACTGTTGTCAATAAAATCAAGATATAATCCAATTTATGTATATTTTCATGTAGAAGAGGATGCGGTCTTGGATAAGATAAAAGTGGATTGCTTTTCATCAAAAATGCTGAAATCAATCCTGGTCTTCAAGTGAGAGGCTGGGTCAAATCCAATGAGCTACTAATGACTGAACCGCACTTCTCAAAGTTAAGAGAAAAGTGGCCAGAGAGAGGGATAAAACCTAATTCTATAGCACCAATAAGGTTCCACAACACCAGTTTTATGTTAGCTGTGATTGGAAATGCATTCATGTTTGACAGTTTGTGCGTTTGTGGGAGTGCTATCCATGTATGTTTATGTAGAGTATATTTATACATTCCTGTGTGTCTCCTCTATCCTCTCACATTGATTATTAAACCCCTGAACTACGACTCGGGAGTTCAGACTGGGTTTGAATTATACATTTCTTTCACTGCAACACAATATTTGATCCCTGTAAATAAAAAATAGCAATAGGCTAACATTGTTTTTACATTCAGATCAACCTGCTTTCACAGGTTTAAATAATCTATTTGTGTTTGAATGAGACCATGTCAATAATAAATAATGGATGAAAATATAAAATAGCATAATTTAGAAAAGTCAATCATGAAATGATCCAGAATTGAAAACATACGTTTGGAGTAAAGAATTGAACTCAGATTGCTCCCACAGACTGAGGTGACTCAGGTGCTTTGAAAAACCTCTCTCCTGTAGACAACGCAGCGCATTGTACACAGAGAGCCAGGTTTGATAAACAGCTCGACCAGCTCAACTCACCGGGAGCCGAGGTTTGTAACCAAAATGAAAAACCTAAGTCAACAAAACTCACAAAAACAAAGAAAATCAAAGAGCTATGAGGTTTGGAGCGGGGTGAGGCGCTGCCGCCTCCCCCTTAAATCTGCAGCTTGGCAGTGGACCAGTTCAGCTTACTCTGATCTCCATCGTCAAAAAGACTCGACACAAACTTTATAAAACAGCAGGACGTCAGTCCTAAAAGCACATTCACATATCACACACACTTATCTTGGTTGTCTCCCCCACCTCCTCCTTAGTGATTCTCTCATTTGATACTGAAATATTAAACAGATAATTGGACGATTCTTTTTCTATTCATTGTGAACCTCTCATTTCCCTCTGTCTCTGTCTTCATCCTTTCCTTCTTCCTCTTCTGTAGCTTTAGCCCACCTTCTGTGGGTTGGTAGCGCGTACGCCCTGCTCGTACGTGATCCTCTGGCTAATCAGATACTGCGCTGCTTGTGTAGCGGCAGGCGACCCTGTAATGGTAACTTTACGGTTCCGAGTACCAGGAATGAATTCCCCTTTTTTGGAGATCTGGATTCGAGCTCCTGTGAGCTCTTGGTACTCAACTAGCGTTTTCCCTCCTTTTCCCAAAATGGCACCCACCAGATTCTCGGGCACAGCGATCTCTACCACGTCCTTGGCCCCATCAGCCAGCTTCTCTGTGGCCAGCAGGGAGGAGGCCATGAGGGGGGAGGAGGCATTCAGGTACCCGTTGGAAGCCCCAGTAGCAGCAGCAAGAGAGCCTAGAGAGAAGCCCCCCAGGCCCGTGGCGGGGTGGCCTGCACTGCTGGATGCGTCACTAGCATAGGAAGCTAACAGATTAGCGGCCGCAGCGGCCGCAGGGTTAGCGCTGGCCGCTACTGCCGCCAGGACGCCCGAGGCAGCGGCCGGGTTGAGGCCGAGGCCTAGGGTGTTGGTGTTGTAGCCGTAGCTGGCCAGAGTGTTGAGGGCTGACGTGATGGCCAGAAGGTCGTTACCAGAGAAACTGGACATAGCGGCAGGGAAGGCGCCCATCCCGGTCAAACCGGCCTGGCCCAGCAGACTGGAGGCAGTGGCGGCAGCGGCGGCGGCGTTGGGCAGGACCTCGGCCGTGTTGGCGTAGGGAGAGCCTGTGGGGTTGGAGTTGGCCACGGGGCCGGACACGTTGGAGTAGCTGATGTTGAGGCAGCTGCTGCTCTGGGGGTCTTCTTGGATCTTCTGGACGATGATTTCCACAGCTTTGCGGTTCTGCTCAGGCTCCCCGCTGATGGTCACCACTCGCTCCTGGAGGTTGATGCCCTCGGGCTTCTGAGAGAGCTGCACCCAGGCTCCAGACTGCTCCATCACCGCCTTCACCGTAGCTCCCCCTTTGCCAATGATGAGCCCTGCAGTGCTGTTGGGCACTATCAATTTAGCCTGTGGAAAAACAAAGAGATTAAAGTGGCACTAAATGCTAACAAGAGGAAGATTGAACTGTATAAATGGCTGACACTAGGAGACATATCTCTGACTGAGTCAGAAGTACAGCAGCCCCCCTTTACTCAGCGATTTGTTAATCCCGAGGGTTTAGAGTGCAGCTGCCACAACGCTCTGTCTCGCTATAAAAGCTCATGTATAAATAACCACATACCCTCACATTTTCCTGACCCTACCAGCCTGAGGGTCATGGCCTAAAGAACAAGAGCGAATGGCAACTAATAAACGAGGTGTGGTTCTGGAAGTGCCCTGATCTTGGCACAGGCCCCCCACATGCCCGCCATGAGGTTAAGTAGTCCTCATATTAGCGTAGCGCACATCTCACCTGTTTGACGCGGTCCGGGTTGACTGTAGTTTGGGGCTGCAGGATACTGACGGGCTCTGGTTTCTGGGCGCTCTGGGGCATCTCTCGCACTTTCTCTGCGATAAAGTTGTGGACGCCATTGAGGGCTTCAACTGTCCCCTGGATCAGACAGACTCGTTCTGTTGTTCCTGTTCAAGCACAAGAAGGACTAGGTTACTCTCAGGGCCCTTGGACATGTGACTAAAATCCACATTTACAGGAAGACATCCTACATTCAAAAATGTTCCTTGGCATTTCAAAAAGAGACCCAATTACTAAGCGATTCTTTGTCTTCTCCATTTACACAATCAACACAGAAACAGCTGAAAGAAAGAGCTGTGCTTGGGTAGCGAGCCACAGGGGGGACAGGATTCCTCCTCCATGATGTAACTCTTTCAGAGCTCTGTGCAGCGCTGCCTCTATTAGACTATACACACATTTGTTTCTCCTGCAGGCTCCTTTTACACCAACTCTGTCAACCCAACCGGCATTCCGTTACCATGGCAAAGGGGCCGAACTGGTATAAAAGGCTGAACAATTTTTAAAACACAGGTTTTTTCTGTCAAACCTCCTGGCTTACATTTTCATTCAACTAAAGAGTCATCATTTTCAAATGAGTAAAATGTTTTGTAAAAGCCCAATGTAAAGTAATGTTAAGAAGCCAGAGTCCAAGAAAAATAAAGCATGAGATGATGTGGCCATTTTAAACCTGACAATATCACCACATAAAGTGTAAAAACATACAGTCTATTAAGGTCAGTTACACTCCTTCAGTCAGAATGTGTGGCTGCGCTGCTGCTGACAAATCCCTTGGCGACAGAATCACTGTGGTCACGCCATGAACCATAAATATGAATATATATATGTATGTATTTATAACCATTTCGTGAACTGGCTTTATAGTTGGCATCAAATGTACAGTGTTTGGAAGTAACTAAATACCTGTATCGAAAATACATACTCTGAATATTGATTTTGAGTAACTCTTTAATTTGGTTGTATTCAGATTACAGTTACTCTCCAAGTACTTCATCATACAAGTTTGGCTTTGAACTGCAAGTTATTTGTTAGAAAAAAGGAAACACAGCCCCTGCAGTATGTGCATGTGTGATTTTTAATCACTAATTAAACAAAAAACACTAAGACATAAAAATGCATAACAAACAGCAACAACAATAAAGCTGTTTGTAATTATATGTCATGTTTTATAATAATATACAATACAACTGAGTGTAAAAGTATTCATAATACACTACTCTGATTGGACCATGTAATGAAAAACATTAACAATTAACATTTTAATGCAGGTATTCAGTATTCTGTAACTATATACATTTTCAGAGTATTGTTCTCATCACTGCAAATATATGAATTCACTTTGCCCTGTCTCAACAATGGACTGTTTTCATTCTAAGCTGTGTTAAATGACATTTGTGAGTGTGATAAAAGTGAAAAGGCACCTGCCCTCACATTTTCATAATGTCATTGACTTCAGGGTGATTTATCATTTAGAGCACATTTTTCCGTTGGTTAATTTTACTGACAGTAGGTTAAATAAATCAAAAGTGTAAGACAAACAAACGGGCTGTAAATGTGATGTTTCAGACCTCCCAGACACACAGTTGGCAGGACGATGTCAGAGGAGCCCGAGTGCCGCTCATTCTCCGAGTTACAAAGTGACAGACAGAAGCTACAGTTGACCTGCCCTGGACTTCTATATCACCACACACATCAATCTGCGAGGGGCAAGGAGCGGAGGGGCTAAACGGATCACCATCGCCCGCCTGTGTCTCTTTAAAACATCGTAAATACTTTATTACGATCGGTGAATATCTGACAGGGCGAGATATGTCAGAACACGTGTCTTTTGTCTCTCAACAGACGTACTACACACAAGTATGTATGCATTATTCAGAGACTGTTTGGCAGAATGCAATAAAAATACTTATGTAGTTACTCAATGCCATTTACTAAAACAATTGACACAATTTGCATGAATAAAAAATAATAACATGAATAAAATACAAAATATAATAAATAATAAATAAAGTGGTGGGTAATAAAATGCTTGTATTATTTGCTACAACGTGCTACCTTTAGTTTTAAGTGTTTGGGAGCATGTGTCTTCCTTGCTCCCACATCATTTAAAGGACCCATATTACGCTATTTTCTGATCTGTTATGTTGTTTTCTCTTCACAAACATACATAGAGCGTGTTTTATTTCATTCATGCATGTTTAACACACACATCCTGCACATTTAGGTTGAGTTCTTGTCTTACACACACTGACTTTCACTAGAATCATTTGGGTAATTTGAGCACTGGATTTCCTGATCTCTACTGAACTGAACGAAAAGGTACTTAATTTGAAAACTACCACTACATAACATGACAAGGTTGAACAGAGCAATTTGGAGATGTAAGCAGATTAATAATTCAGGATAATTTAAACATGTATGACTGAAACAAAACACAACTCTGGGTATGTTTTTGAAGAGGTAAAAATATTATAACGTAGCTTAAAGCTCACAAGAATCAATTTTGTGTAATATAGGCCAATTAATTCCTTATCCAAACTTAGAACAGTCAATCCTACAGTTACTATTGTGCAGATAAGTACTAGTAAAGAGCACTTCAAAGACTCTCTGAATGCTTCATTTTAATTCACCAACCGATTCACTGGAAACGCTTGCATCAGCTTTTGGATTTCTGTCTGTCTTTGTAGATGGAGAGTTTCATAATAAGAGCTGAGGGCTTAGAGTCGGAGCTCGTCTCAGTGATGGAGAGAGGTGCAGAAATGTGTCAGGCGCATGGAGCACATGTCCCCAGAGCCCAATAAGGTTTGAGCTTCGCCTCCATCTTCATCCACAGGAATCCACCAGCTCCATCTCTACACCGGAGGAGACTATCTGTTCCACACCTTTCTGCAGCTGGTTGGCATGGTTACTATTAAAATGACATTACACTGTTCTATTTGTAGTTTGAAATGTAACTTAAGTATAACAAGTGTCTTCATTTTCTAATAGTTTAAGTTATGTTACACTATTTTTTGATCTGTGTTATAGTGTTGTTTCCTTGTTAACAACATATCTGGAGTGTTTTCTTCCATTCACACATTTTAACCACAAAAACCCTGCATATTTGGGGTCTTCTCTCAAACAGAAAACACTCTGTTTCACCTTGTTATGCCATGTGGTAGTACTGAGAGTGTTCCACTGTGTTTTTAAACGCCATGCACCTTAAATGGAGTAATTTGGATTATTTCAGATCTGGAATTGCCACTCTCTACTCAAGTAAGGGTAAATGCTAGCTGTTAACTTGAAATTACATGACATCACAAGGTGGAACAGAGCATTTTGAGCTTTGAAGATGCAGACAGAATAATAAACCAAGTTTACTCTAATGTGTGAATGAAAGAAAACATAACTGTGGGTATGATGCGATAACAACATTATAACCTGCCTTAAAGCTCACCAAAATCTATTTTGTGTAATAGAGTCTCAATTGACTTCAGTGTACAGTGCATATTTCAAAACCGATAAGTGAGTCGATGAACGCTGCTGTAATCATTAAATTAAATTAAATTATGTATTTGAATGAATTTTTCTTTTCCAAGTACCTAACAGAACATACGCAAATGTACATGTTTGAAAAAAATTCTAAGATTAACGCAATGGGCTAGAACAGAGCACAAGAGGTGAGAGAAGCTCTGAAGCTCTGCTCTGAATGATTGGTAATTTCAGAAGAGGTTGTACACATTTAAGTCATGTGTTGCCAATAAACTGCAGTGATTGTTCATCCATAAAAATGAAGGAGCAGTGAGTAAGATCCTATATTAGAAAAAAATAATTACTCTTGTGAGATTTAAGCCATGCTATAATGCTGCTTCCTCATCACAAACCTGGAGTTGTGTTTTATTTCATTCACACATATTTGAGTAATCCTGGTTTATTAGTCTGTCTACATCTCCAAAGCGTGTTAAACATGTGTGAATAAAACAAAACACAACTCATGAGTTTGTGATGAGGAAACAACATTATAACAGATCAGAAAATAATGTACTATGGGCCCATTAAAAAAACAATATCACATCACATGTTTTATTTGATCAGTTTATAACCACAGTTTACAATTAATATTCATAGTTTGCACCATACTGCCAAAGCAAGTTCCTAGTTGTGAAGTTTTGTGAACTGACATTGACAATAAAATGTATTCTGATTCTGAAGTCGACAACGGTGTTAATTTATCATAGACATTTTTGGATTCTTGTGAGCTTTGAGTGAGTCTACATCTCCAATGCTCAAAATGCTCTTTTCTACCATGCGATGTCATGTAGTGGGAGTTTTCAAGTTAACAGCTATCTTTTACCTTTTGTTCAGTAGAGATGGGCAATTCCAGGGCTGAAATAATCAACTGAATGCTTTCAGTTCAATAGAGAACTCAGCCTAAATACGCAGGCTTTGTGTGTTCACTGACATTGGCAATAAAATGTGAGTAAGTGAGTATATTTATCAGAGTAATATTACAAGTCATACAAACGGTCTTATAAGCTTCAGAATTCAGCAACAAACCCTTTCTGAATAAGCGTTTGTTTAGTTTAGTACTTTAGCAATTACGTAATGCTTACATGAAATCCCCTCCCCTCCAAAACATGTCGCCCAGTGACATGCTGTTCCTCTGCCCCATATAACCCCCAATAAATAAGTGCCATTATATAGAGAGATTACACAGCAATTCCTCACTCTATAAATCAGTTTGAGGTGTTTTTATAGGAAGTCTCTGCAGTGATTATAATCTTTAGATCACTTTGTTGCCATGTGCTGTTTTGGTTTGAATGTAATGTGCAATTTATAGTCAGTAAATCCGTCATCTGGAATAGGTCGACATTACATCATTGGTCTGAGCACCAGGCTACCACCCAGACTCCAGCCACTAACACAACACAATTCTTCAAAAATGTTTCTGGAGTTTGGACCGAAACAAACAACTATAAAAGGCAGCTGTGGTGGAAAAAGTACTGCAAATGTGTACTCAAGTAGAAGTATAGTTACAAAAAAACACACTAAATTACAAGTTCAAGTAGTGCTGCAAGTCATTAAAGGTGCACTGTGTAATTTTTTTGGTTGGAAGTCCGTCACCATCACC